TTTATTCATCATAAAAATTTGATACTTGCATATTAACACACTGCGATAGAATTTGAAAAAATTGAAAGCTTTGCTAAAAAATGTTAGAATTTAGGAAAAGATACATCGCAAATAATATCTTCGTACAATTTCAACAAATTTAAAATGCTGCGCACATTTTTATAACATGTTAACTATATTAATTTTAATTTTTTCAGTGATAAATTCTTTTTTCCTCGATAAAAACTACACCGAGTTATGGTATACAGATAAATGCCAACGTGTATCGATGTCCTGTTACATTTTCGCGCGTTAGGATTATGCAGGATGCCCATTTCTGCAATGCGAGAGTCATCCGTGCGACGACCGGAAGTAGGCGTAATAACGAACTCGCATCAGCCATACGCGTCAAGAATACAATAACTTGTGTGCGTGGGACACAAAGGCCGGTCTCTCTCGGCAACGACACACGCACGAATTCCGAGAGCGCTTCTTCCGAACGGGTGGGGCCTGTTTTTTGAGGAATTTCAAGCGGCGACGGGCGACCCAGCGCATACCAGGTCATTTGAGAGCGACTGCTCGTTAAAAGTTAGCGAGCTGCGCGCGCTCTTGCTAGGATAATAATCATTGGTCTGTTTCACATAAACCCAACTTCGAACACGTACCGTATATTGTATATAGAAGAAGAGGAAAATATATTGAGTAAAAATACTGACTATGTATTCGCTATGAATTTTTCTTCCTTTTCTTCTCTCATTTTTTTAATCCTTTTACTTTCACGTATTTTTTATTACAATGCACGATTTTTTCTTCTACAGCAAAATGAATATTGTCGTAATCTTGATTACATATATTTCTTTTCTTAATTTCTGATTTGGCAAATTAAAGAATTTAAGGCGACTTAAGAATTGAAAATCGAGTGGTGATTTGCGAGTTCTTTTACATTTTGAAACGTCTGGACAGGAAGTGACCATAGACATTTTCCACATTTCGCGTGACACGTGGGTATCGTGGGAGCCAATGGATATTATCTCAAAGGTACCGTAAAAGTACCATGTGTTCCGCACATGTTCGTGCGAGAGTGTAATTGCAAAAACCGCCATTCTATGTTCAGACACACGTGAAAAGTACAATTATTATTTCCTCCTTGAAAGCTATTTTCCAGCTAGTTTTTCCAGGAGCTCCCGTTTCATCTTTGATATTTCGAAATAATAATTTCCGAAAAGTGCGATTTCTCTTTCCCGTTCGCGTTCACGCGAGCATTCAGTCTCGTGGAAAAACCGGTGCTCGGCGTTCGGAAGTTCGCGAAAGAGAAGAGACGTTCGTTGACACGCCGAGATCGCGTCACGACAGCCTCATTAAAGCGCGAGTTCGCTTCGAATAAATTCATGAGGAACGCGCATTCGTCGGCCGAAGGAGGATACGATCCAGGTCTCTGGATGCGTACATCGTCAACCTACGCAACCCACGCGGCCCACACGATATCTATCGTCCAAGGTATGAGCAATTATGGATTGAGAGGCTGACCTTGGTCCAACAGGAAAACCGTGTGAGAACCGGCCGCCCGATCGGCAATCAATCGGGCTTACGCCTCTCGACGAATTAATTTTCCACGCGCGAAATTTACTACAACGTTAAATTTAACAATTTCAAAAGCATCGTTATGACCCGAGCATCTTTAACACTCTATTTCACCGCGTTTAATTGTTCCTGGAAACGGAATGGTTTGCGACGGGAAATAAAAATTTCGTTAGAAAGTAACCACGGAGTAACCGTAATTCGCCTACGAATAGTCCAACTTGGAAACTCATCGCAGCGAGATCACCTAGAAATTTCTTTCCCACGAGCAATACGCGACAATACGAAATTGAGGTCATTCGCTACGTTGCGTAGGAATAGCGGCGAATAAGATCAGTGAGGTTAATCAGATCGGAAAGAAAACGATAAGGTCGCCCATTCCGGCGTTAACCCGTGATATTCTCAGAGAACGCACGACACGATTGCAGGTGATTGTTGAATAAAATTATCATACATCTATGTGTATCTTTCCGATCTGGAGAATAATTAACCATCGTATATGAAGAGCCAAAATTTCTCGAATCTATTTCAGACTGCGTGTCAGTAGAATTCCTTTGTAATTAAATTTTAAGAGTTAGAAAGAAAACAAACTATTTCATAATAAAGTATAATTAAGAAAAAAAATATTTTTTTAAGTATTCATGGTTGGTTAATTCTCACATCGATGGTATGTTTTAAAATATTTTCCCTATAATATATTATTTACAGTTGATAAATTTCAAAATTAACGATATGTATTACATCTAGAAAAATAATCCAACAGCTTATTTAGGACAATTTTATTAAGAAAACCTTCCTTTTTTTATCAACTTAATTGTATAACAAGGTTTAATTTTTTTTAGCCTTTATGTATTATATTAATACGTAATATAATTTAATAATTGAATGAAATAATTGAATGATAAATAAATAAATTAAATAATATATTTTATTCAAATTTCATTTTTTGCATATTTTTAGGACAAAGTTGTTTTTTTAATAATTATTTAAATTTTTTGTTTTCGATATTTTCAACGCATTCCACGCAGTGCAGTAATTTGCAGTAAAAAAATTTGCGTAAAAATTAATTTCTATCTTTTCGTATATTTTATTTCATAATTTTTAACAATTCTTTTAACGTTTCACGACTTATTCAAATGGAAATCGCTCTTAGTCTTTATCAGAGCGTAGGATCGCCCAGATCAAAGTCGGGACGCGATTCATTTGAATCTGAAACGGCGCGATGAAAAAGTTTCCCGAATCGCGAAGGCATAGGCGGAGGGAATGTCAATCGAGGGAAGGCGCGATGTCGAAAGTTCAAGTGTGAGGGACCTAATGAAATCTTGACGAGACGAAACGCGACTGGCGGGAAAGATCGTTCACGATCTCGTCTGTGATTTTGCCGTTGTGCGATTGAGCAATGATAGAGGTTTTCGACCACGCAACAACGTCCCACGTGCATCAACGCGTCGTGAAGCGTTTAATTCACCGATGATGATTCGCTAATAATAACGTGGGCGACATAAAGATGATATCGACACGAGAATGATCGACGTTACGACCTGACGTACAAGAGTAGAAATAACGAGATAAATATGTAGAGGAGAAGCTAAAAAAAAAAGGAGGAAGCCAACTCTCTAAGAATATCGTTAATTATTCCGATTCGAAGGTATTTCATAGTAACGATAGAATTATAATACAAGTTCATTGCGAAGCGTTCGGACGAGAGAGACGCGTAAGATTTTATCGCGGTCGTTAACCACGTAATTCTGCATTCTAATTTATCATAATTAATGTTTCATAACTATTTTTTTCCTCCTTATGACGTAATTTATCTTTAATTAGTCTTTTGAATAGAATAGAAGTTAAAGAATCTTAATTTACAAACTCACTCACTCTCTCTCTCTCTCCCTCTCTCTCTCTCTCTCTCTCTCTCTCTCTCTCTCTCTCTCTTCTCTTCTCTTCTTTCTCAGCTTGAACTTAAGCGCATTGTATGAATTGGCGATTAACGCCAGACTTAGAATTTTATCTTCACGAGCGACGGCTTTCTGCGCGCAGGCGGGAAATTCTTTCGGCTCAGAACGCCGAGACGGGCGAGCGATTAGAAAATTAACGCCGTTGCACCGGCGTTACGATCGTTACGTGGTGGAGTTGCGTGAAAAGCAGCACGCGATGATCCTATGGCCGAGCACGTAATTCCACGGTAATCGCACGTGAGGAAATTCTCCACCTTCCTGATTATCAATCGCAAAGACTAATTATACAAGGAGAGGAAAAAAAAACAGGGGGGAGGAGTATTCGCCTTGGTATTTGCATGTGACTTACTTCCCATCGTCACACATCGATTACGTCTTGTCGATTACGTCTTGTCGATTACGTCTTGTCGATTACGTCTCGCGCCGCGTCAATGATCGTAAATCATTATGCCACACGCGAGAGAGGGGGTGGGCTCGTTTCGTTTGTTTTAATTATGCCCGCGCGACCTAATTACGTCGCGGCTTAATTACAGCAGTTTTACTTCCGACCGATATCAAGAGTGTATCTATATCACATGATCATTTATTCTCTATTTTCCTATTAGCATCCCGAAAACTTCGGACTTTGTTGAAAATCATTGTTTTTATACTCGGAAAGAATACTTTTGCTAAAGTATTAAAAGATTTAAATATAAATATAAAAATGATTTTATTTTTGAGACATCAAAATAATTATGTAGGACAATAATACTACAAAAATTTTGATATTTTCACAAATGGAATTCACATTATATTTGAGACATGTTTTTCAGCGCCTAATAATTTTTTTTCATTTCTGGATGTATAAAATTTCAAGAATAACTTTTTTTATCGTCACTGTTAACAGATTTGAAAAGCAGTGATCAAAAATCAGAATTATGTCCTTTTCTTCATATTTTAGCAATCAACTTGAGTATTCTACGTAATTATTTTGATAGTCCAACAAAATTTCTTTTCAGACCCGAATCATTGGTCATTTTACTTTTCAAAAATTTTGGTGAAACCATTCTTTCTATATACCAATTGTGAGAAATACGTTTCTTTATTTTGTAGTTTTGTTATGCACACAGAGTATTCGTCGTCATGGTATCCTCCAATCCAGTTGGTTTTTTATGACGAGAATCATCATTCAGCCTTTCGCCGCGTAAGGATACAATTAAGTACACATACAAGTGTTAATCGACGTCGGAATGATCGGAAATACTTTGTTTCGAATATACTGTTCTCACATGTATAACTGCGCAATGACGATTAAATTTAAAATCTTGATACGACACTTCCGTTTTCGCCGATACGTCAGCACGATTCGGTGCAATTAACGAGCACCGTTATCAGTTCTAGCAAACTATTATTATCAGTGCTATCTTTTATCGGTGTCTCAGTCGACGTTCGGACATTTTGAAAACGCCAAAAGAAATATTTACAGAAAAAATGTAACAGGGGACTTACGTTTTCCGGTTGGGACGAACGCCTCTGCCGCGGCACACAAAAGAGCGGCACGCCGCTTTCCCGCTTCCTCTCCAATATAGCGGCTTCCGGTTCCCGGTGCAGCACCAAAGCGTAACCTCGGCTCACCACGTGATGTCCTCCTCCTTTTCTCTTCCGTCCTCAATTTCTGTTTCCTCGGCTTTTCTCACAGATCACTAACAAACGCACCTAGCGATCACTTCCGAAATCACTTTTCTCTCGATTTCCACGCCGAGTCACCGCGCGTATGAATTGCGAGTCACTCCTTCTCTTTCTCTCTTTCGTTCGTTCAATCCTTTCAATCGATCGTTTCGATTCACGGCCACTTTCCTCGCGACATAAACAAACGCTCGGGTACGCGCGCCAGTGATGTATTACACGCGCACACACACACACACACACACACACAACACACACACACCACACCTGGAATATCTCGAAAGAGCTGCGCACTACGACCTCCCCTTACCGTTTCGATTTCCAGAATTCGCGATTTTAAATCTCATTCACGCGTCCGAGCCGTCCGGCGAATTCTTCTGCTCCTTTGTTTATCGTCGGCTACGGCGTATACGGTTGGTATCGCACTGAAGTCAGTCGCCAGTCAAGTCGAACGTAACCGACGCTCACGCGTTCCTTCCGTTCTTTCTTTTTCTCTTTCTCTCTCTCTCTCTCTCTTCTCTCTCTTTCTCTTTCCTTCGATTTCGAACGTGGCGATTTTTCGTAATATACCGTGCCGATTGAGTCGCGCGTTGAATGACAATTGGTGTTCGATCGCGCAGGAGAAAGAAATCACGAGCGACAACAACTCACAATGACGACAGGTTGCGCTCCGCGAAATGACTGGACTCGCTCCTGGCGATCGCCGCCGATCCGCCGCGCTCTCCCCACCACACCTACTTTCCCCCACTATGCTCCTCTCGCTGCAGGCTCTTTCCATGCTGCGAGCTGCGGGCGACGCGTGTTTATGCCATGATGCTCCGTTGCCGGAGCATCCCGACTTCTTAGAATATGAGAATACGATGGCTAACACAATGAGCCTGCTGTTTCCGACTGTGATTTCTTTCTTCACACTTTCGACACATAAAGAAAAGTTGAAAAAAAAAAGAAAAAGAAACATAATTCGTATACGTAACGAATCCGTGAAAAATTCGCCGGGCGGCTACGATCGTCCGAAATTCACTTGATGAATCTGTCGCGCCATTGATACAATATCTACACGAACGCCTGAAATTTTTCTCATTATTCTCAATGTGTGCGCTTATCTTTCGAAAGTAAAAGATATTCACTCTCATAAATTTAAAATTATAATTGGAAGGCGAGCATTCACATTCCGTCGAAATATCGTAATGTGTTGTAATTATCCTGGCGAGAATAAAAATTGACGTTTTAGATAAACGGTTCTTTTACATTCCGCTGTTTTAATTTACGCTTTCTAAAAGTTTTGTTACTCTCTCCTTAAGCTACATAGAAAAAATAATTTTGCTAAAGTATGTAAAAATTTAATCAGATATAGATTTGAAAATATATAATAATAATAATAATAATAATAATTTTGTTAAGCCAACAAGATATTTCAAGTATTCTTATTCTTCCACATTGAACTATTTTATTTTCGAGATTTCGTTCAAATTTATATTAATTAAATATCTACCACATCGTACATTAATTGAGCTTTGTTTCTATCAAACGAAATATTTGTTTAACATGTAAATATGTATTATAACAAGCGAATAGCATGTAATTATTATCGTTAATTGTTAACATACGGATTGCAATATTTGTCTGACAATTGATTTGTCACAATCGATATATCAGACTTCTGTAATTTTACGTTTCGCATCAGACAAATGAACGCCGAATGATTGATCAACATGGAATATCGAGTAATTCATTAATATAATAATAATAATAATAATAATAATAATACAATACGCCTGTCTCGTATGACGCGAACGAGACGAGATCACCCACCATATACTAAGAGCACAACCGTAATTGTTTTGAACCGTAATCGCACTCGTAACTCGTTAGCTCGTTATTTCCGACTAATCATGATTTCCATGCAACCGAAATGAGATTCCGAGACTCTTGGAGTCCAGTTCCTGGCAAGCATGACTTGACGAAACGTTTCTCCATCAAGTTCAGACGTGCGATCTTTGCAGGTGGTTATTAAAATCGAATTAGAGTGCAATCCGGCAAAAAATCGACTAGCGACGATAGAAATCAATTTTCTTCCTGATATGTATGCCTATGCGAAATTCTCGCGTGCAACGTTAATGGACGCATGTTACTGACAACGGCGACCGTGAACAGAGAGTTTCCGTGGCGATTTGCACTCGTCAAGAAGTAAAATTAGTCACCGATGCGAAACCGGCAATTATACGAACGGCAGAATAACGCATTAGACAGTAGATTTATGATCGGTATAGTTAAGTCATGCTTTCGTTATATGTACCTGTAATTGCGATTTTACGCTTCTGTGAAGTCAGTACCACCTTGATGTTGTACTGAACTTGTACATACATAATTAACAAGATTTTTTCTTTTGAAAAATTTCAAAATGCAGAAATAATTTAATATCGATAATTAATATTTTAATTATATCTTATTAATTATATCGAATTAATATTTTATCAATTTAAAATATAATTAATATAGTATTAAAATTTTATTAAAAAATATTTTTTTGTATAACAACTGATTAACAAATTCTTTTTTTGTTAAACAACTGATCTATTTTTTCTATCGCTATTAAATATTTCCGAGAACTATGTCTTTTTTCCGGTTACATATACGGCATGTAATATGTGTATGTGTCATGTGATGTATGTGAAATCAGTGTTGGGTCTCCGCGTAAACAATAACAATCCATGTCGACGTAAAGACTTTGCAAGCCATCTTTCTACGTGCCATCTATGCGAATATAACGCTTGTTCGCAACTACAGCATCTCATCAAGACAATTAAATGTTATATATAATTATTTCCTTGTTACGGTATCACGTACTATATATCTGTCAACACTCTTCTAGTAAAAGAAGGACACATGAAAGAATTAAAATCATTTTACAAAAAATTATTTAATCAATTACTTCTTTTATAAAAAATTTTTGCAATCATTTTTTATTTAAGCTGTATTCTTTGCACATGTAAAAATGTAAAAAATTCATAATTCGAAAAAAAATTTGTCGAATATTATAATTCTTCAAATAATATTAATAACAAAATCAAGAAAAAAAAATGTAATGTTAATTTGATAAATGTAATGTTAAGAGAAATTAGAAACTAAATTGATTGAATATATATTTTCTTAGAATAAGAATTATAATTTTAACATGTGTGTAAAAGATTATAATTTGCAAGACTGAAAAATATAAGAACAACTCGTAAAATATTAACCGTTAAAAACATAATTAAAAATTTTCAACATTACTAATTTTCTTATTAAGACATTCGCCTAATATTCAAAATTGAATAAAAATCTGTATGTACATTGCAATTTCAATTAAACGCATATATATATATATTTTATTGAAATCGTATTATATATTTATTTGCGTTTTTGTCTTTCCGTATTAAAAAAAAAAAAAAAAAAATTACCGAAAGAATCGCAAAAACTTTTGATACGGTGTGTTTGCTAGAGAGATACGATTTAAAAATGGAAATGATGCATGAAACTCCGAACGTAACATCGAGATTGGAGCCTGTCACGGAAACCGCGTGTGGCGCGAACCAGATCTGGTTAAGATCAGAGAGACGATCCCCTGGATAGATGCTATATCGCCCGTTCTGTATTGCTCCCGTTCTACATGTCACGCGGCTACCCACGTTAATTAGTCCATTATCATCGTGGCCGTCACTACCGGCAACTCGTCGCTCGCCGTTTACCGTTTCTCGACGGAGGTAGACATAGCTCTAATGACGGTGTACCAAAGGCGTGACCCTTTCGGGACGCGTGGACGCCGCTAACAACGCTCGTTAAATCGTGCAGACGGCAGAAGCCACGTGTCCGGCAACTAAAATCAATTTAATTTCCTCGAGTGAGAATCGAGCGAGTAGAGTAAGAATAAGACAGAACGATGAATTATCCAATGGCATCCCACATAAAAGATATTCGATTCGCGGGAATCTGTTCTAAATTTATTTCTGGTGGAGGGACGAGTGAATGGATCTCCGTTCTCCGTTCACGCGCTTTACGAAAGATTCACGGATAATGGAACTCCGCGCGTTCGCCACGGGTGATAATTCGCTCTGGCCTTCGTCGCTTTGAGGCATCGCTCCCTCCTACCCCCCTCTCCCCCCCGGTCTCGTGGGACAACGAGGGTCCTTCCGTGCGTTGTGGTGACACGATCCGGCGCACCCATCAACACCACGTGGCGCGGGCACGAAACCGTCAGCGCGTGCCGGCGCGTTTAATTTCGCTAAAACCCGATGCGAATAATAAACTGTCGACGGCGACGGCGTGGACGACGAGGTCTACCGTGGTTGTTTGGGGGAGAGCATTGCTATTTGCCGCAGAGCGTGTGGGCGTCCGCCGTGTGGGAGTGCCGCCGGACAGAACGGGGGGACATCGGGCGAGCGGATGGACGGGTGCATGCCATGTACACGTGTGTGGGTCGTGGTTTCCTCCCCTGGAGCTGAAACTCGGAATTCAGGAATCGGCGCGATAAAAGGAACCGCCGGACAGCGACGGTGAGGAGGGAGGGGACGGAGGGTGAGAGGGGCATTCGAGCGTAGGACGCGGCTCGATTAATTTCCTCATCTGGCGAATGCGCCATGTCCACGTTGATAAGCATAGAAATAACGGACGAAATTTACTTTCAAAGTATTCTTTGTGCACCGAAAGCAAATGGCTCGAAATAAATTATCGAAAAAAGCGACATAGATAAAAAGTTCCGTTGGACAATGTCGATGCAGGCTACGTTAATTAATTCGATAAGGGCGGAGAACGAGTTATTCGGAGTAAGGTCTCTTGAAGAGATCAAACAGGGCAACGACATTTCGCTAATTAGTTAATTCCATCGGATGGCACTCCGAAGGCTTCGTCGTAAAGCATCGCCGTAGCCGTCCTCGAGTAATTTGATTACATAAGCGCGGAGAAAAAAAGAGCATTATCGACGTAACTTGCATTTGACATATGCATGTCATCGAATATTCACATAACTATCACATAATAACTGCGAGGAAATTGAACGATAAAATAATCTTTATTTACACAATCGTGTAATATGATTCAGTATGGTATGCTAAATTCCTCCTCCATATTTATTTCATTTTGTGGTTCAAATGGCTCATAAAGAGTATCATCTTCCTTCGTCTCATCGATATCGAATATCGGTATCGGTTTCATCTTCCGTATTGCTCTTTCTATTTTTTGCACTGCAGTGATTTCCTTCGGAGTGCTTATAAAATTGTCCACTCGGCAGTTCTTAACACTACCGACTCTTCCGG